TAAAAAAGCCGCTTTTCTAGCCCATATGCATTACAAAAAATAACTTTTTAGTTAGCAAAATGTAAAGAAAATATTTTTCCCACAAAAAACAAAGTATGTATAAACACAGATACAACACCTATACAAACACATTAAACCACACTTGTGCTTCGTATCAAAAAACCTGTTCCTATTAATATCAAGTCCAAAGTTCAAGGTTTTAAGCAGAAACATGGTTTATATGGTTTATGGTCAAACTTAAATTAATATATTTGGACATATACGTATATATATGATTACTTTTTGTAATGAACAAAAAGGAAATTTTATATTACGGTATTCATTTACTTTTGTTCGTCAACTAATTATAGAGTAATAAAAGCATGTGACTGTTTCGTGAAAGCTATAATTTCATTTTTATTTTTTATATTGCAAAATTACGTATTCAAAGCAAAAAGTTCAATGAAAGTTTTTGATGAAATAAACGTGGCCTTCTAAGGAAAATAACTTTTTTTACGTATAATTGCACAAAGTCTATCGCAGATTGATTGTCTGGCCTACACAGGCTTTTAACTACTGCCTGAAGCTTTGAAGAGCGCCTCATCGCGAATTGTTAGCTCAAAAAACAAGATCACCTGTATGGGGCCAATTGGAACAGCTACATGGTTTTAAATTTAAAAAAGTTTTTCTTCCGATTTGAACTTTTTTGTGACACTACCAAACTATACTTAAATTAACCTTCTGTACATTAAAAATCAAACTATATGTCGGGAAGAACTAAACTATAACAAATCATATTAAAAGATAGAACCTCCTTCGCCCTCCCTGTTTATTATTGAAAAACGCCATTCTTCGCTTTTATATTACTTATATGGTCCTAAATAGCAAATTTCAGTTTTACCTATCCAACTAAACCTACGCACCCTTTCCTCCCCCTTTCTTTTCCTTCCTTCTGTACCCTCCCCTACCTCCTCTACCCTCTCCTTCCCATCCTCAACGAACATTACTGTCTAACAAAGAACATTTTGAATTTAACCCCCCCCCCTCCCTCCACGATCTTACGGAATATGCGACAAGGTTCGAAGATATTAATCAGCACGACTTTTCCAACTTTTCAAGAAAAACGCACAAACTCCCGAATCAGAAATCACATGTTATTTCGACTACTTTTTGTGTCGACGCCCTTTCCAGCGTAGTTCGGTCTCGAAGAGCTTTAAAACACAATTTAAAAAACTGATTAGAACAGTTTTCTGGATTCTGAAGGCTGTTTTAAAGGTGCTTTATAAAATTTAAAAAAATATTTTCCAAGTTTAACGTATCCAAAATTAGTCAATTAAAAAAATTTTAGGCGTTTTATAGTCGGTAAAAATTGAAAAATTGCCTCAGGACCACAAAAAAACGTCATTTTTTCGACAAAAGTGCCTGGTTCTTTGCTAGTTTTAAAAAAATTTTGAAAAATTTACACGACATTTTTTGTCACTTCTACACTAAAATCAACTGTCGATATCCATTATAAGAAAGTGTCAATTCCCAAACAAAAATCAAGATATTCACAGTAAAACTTTTATAAATAGATTATATTTAGCCACATGTTCGAATTGAAAACAAAGTTATTTACTTAGCAACACGTACCGGCCCTGTAGTTTGCTTGAAACGTGTGAAGCACAAGTCACAAGTAAAGTCAGTAACACTCACTGAAAACCTTGTTTTAGTTTAATGTAAAGACTTTTACCACAAAGAGTTTTTGTGTTACAGTAGTCATTTGCCCTACAGTAAGTTTTAGTTTTCAACCCGTATTTTACATAACTCTGTCAAAAAATACGAGCAGTGTCCCACCCTGGTTATAAAAACCGGTTTAGACCAAACCTTATGACCATTGAGTGTCATAACATTTGGTGCCGACATAAAGAACCCGCCACATTTTGCAAGAAATTACAGGCAACGTATGGCGGATTCTTTATGTCGGCATGTAATAAAGAGGTTTGACTGAACATTTATGATGTTCAAAGTAAAAAAGTTTTACAAGGTACACTTAAGGCTCGTATTTTATCATAAATATTTTTTTACATACTAAACACTTCAGTAAGACATAAAAATTCAAAAAATGTAAAACTTATGCCCTATGGCACATATCACAAACTCCGCTACTTAAAAGTTAATAAAGAGCACATTGAATGATAACATTATCAGCTAGCGAGATAATAGCGTTTGAAACTAAACACAAATGTGTTCTTTATCTTCTGCTCTATTATACCTTACAAAATAATAATATTTGACTACAAAAATGGCATCAAATTCACAAAAAATCATTGTGTTTTAATTTTGTTTTTGAAAAATTAGATTATACAATGAGCAGTAGTGATAAGAAAGTTATATTAGGATTTTTTACAGTATGATATATTGATATAATTTTAAACTCTTGATTGATGGTGGATCTAGTAAGTAAAATAAGGTAACTTTAAGATCTTGTCATAATGTCAAAACATAAAAATAAAATCGGTAGAAAAATTACCGCCTTCTGGACGCTTGACTAACATTTTAACACTAGATTGCACTAGATTGAAGCTTAAAACCATTTGTCTTGCTCAAGACGAATAAGAAGGATCAACTAGGACACCCTATGTAAGTTCTTTGGTCGCTCATACCTTGTTAGCCGAGACCGTTTCGCAGTTTATGAAAATGGCATTCCCGGTAACTTTTTATAAACTTTCACCTTATATAGGTCTCTTTCTATAAGCCGAGGAATATTTGAAGCAATTTCATTGTCAGGTATAAATTGTATCTCAGTATAGAACTACTATAACATTAATGTTCAAAGTCAATTAGTTTTAAGATACTTAAACAAAAGCTAATAAAACACGTAAAAAACGTTTGTAGAGTTTTTAAAATACAAAGTATAAAATATATAAGAGTCGTAGCTTTAAAAAAATTTTTTTTTGTAATTTATTTTCCTCTTCTAGCACTGATACTCCTCAAACGTCTTCTTCTCCCCTTCCCCTTTCCGGTCCAGTCCAAAAATTTCTTAACCAAGCCCTTAAACTCTCCCAAAGCCCTACCTCCCAACACCCACACCTGCCCAATGAAATAAACTTTAAAGGTGTGACAGTTACAATCAATCACGAAACCTTTACCAATTACAACTTGCAATTATAGTCAATTAATCACCAATTGTTTGTTTCAAACAAATCGATTAAGTTTTCGCAAAAAATCGATAAAACTTTAATGCTTTTACCTCAACTAACATTTTTTCTTCTCGAGGTATCGTTTGTGACAGACGTTTACTGCTCCGTAGTTTGTGATCAACAGAAGTGGCAAAACTATTGTTTAGCTACTCTACAGTGAAGGGTATTGCTTTCTGGTTAAAAGTATTGTTAGCGCACAGTAAAAACTGAACTTTTTTCTTTGATCGCAGTCAGATTTGGTTACAATATAATAGTGTAGTTTCAAATAAAGGTAACAGTTTTGGATCAAACTATAAAGGATGATAACACAACTCTGAGTTTAATTTAGTGATAATAAGAAGATTGATTATAATCTTGGGATAATTGTCAAGTTTGTTACATTAAACAAATACACTCTTAAAAACCTAAAATAAAAAAAATGTTTAAAATCAACCATATAATAACCTATTACTTTCTTCATGGCTAAAAATATGTTTAGCAGAAGGCTATGTTTCAACTTATAAAGTAAAGTAAAATTGTGTGTGCCCAACCTGCCCCACTCTGATTGATTTCAAACTTTTTGCATAGAAAAATCTTGTAAATGTAAGATCTTCAGTCAAGTATCATTTTTCTTTGATATACTAGTAAAATACTTTAAAATGAACCTATATTTTTAAATTTGTAAGTGTAGCTTGTCTGGAAAGCCAAAAAAAGTGTTTGAAACACAATGCCAAATTTGCCAAATTAGTGGAATACTCTAATGTTTAAATTTAGAAATTTAAAATCGCAAGCCAAAGTTTTTTATGGGTACTATTGGTGGCAAAGCATTCATATAAAAATTTTTAGCTAATTCTGAACGTACGTTGGATACTCTTTTTAGAAAATAAAAAATGAACCTTGTCCTGTTTGCAAAACAAAAATGTTACCTTGAAACAAACAAAAATAAAACTTTACAACTTGAAAACCATGTGGTTCAAGGTAACAGCAAAAACGAAAACAACCTCAACCAAGTCAAAGATCTGCAAACCACGACAAAATCGGTAGACAAGTCACGCCAAACAGCGATAAAATCATAATTAGATAGACAGATAAATAAGGTTTTTATGAACGTTGACAACGTACGCGACGGGTGTGAGTTCAATTTGTGAAAAGAGCTTCAAATTTATGTTTTTTTTTGAAAGTTTATTTGAAAGTCTAGAGGATGTAAAGATCTATAGAGATAAAGGTTTTAGGCACGTGTTATTTTTTTGAATCCGTATTGTTTAGCTAGCTAAAACGTAATGTAATAATGACAAAATGCCAAAATTAAACCACCGAGATTCAAACTTATCGCCTTCTGCACTTCAGACTAAACTCAATCTCTCTGCTACGTTGGATTGATATCTCAATCCATTCGTTTTACACATTTTGGAAAAAGAGCGGCCATAGAATGTTTCCTATGTAAATTTTTCTTCAGTTTACTGTAATTTTAAAAAAAATATATTAGACCAAATTAAAAAAATTTTAAGAAAATTAATTTTTAAAATTTCTCACGTTTTTGATGTTTATTGTTTGATGTTTTACAAAAAATACACAAAAGAACTCAAGGTTGTGCAAACGTCATCATTTGTTTATACAACTGTCGCAACTATAATATGAGTTTAAAGTTTGATTTACAATTACGGTACTACTGCACCAAACTATAAAACTACAAACCAAACTAATGATCATACCTTTAGTAGCTTCTGTAACTTTTACAATGTACTTTGATTCAACACAACTTTATAGACAACATTCTGTTTATTTATCGTTGAGCACAGCGAAATAGGCTTTACAGTACAATATGGTACACAGTAAATCATAATTCAACATACCACGGTACTACTTTGTCTCAACCTCAGCACTTTCGTCATTTCTCTTCGACGGAACGGGGAAGATGTAGGCATTGTTCTTCTGCTCACTGACCGGTCGTTCTGGTGGTGGAGTAGGGCCTTCGTAGTCCTTCACCTTGTTCAACTTTGGTGGAGAGGGAAACCGAGCTTCTTCAGCTTGCTTTGGTGGTGGTTTTGCGTTTGTTCGTCCTGGACATTTACAATAAGTAGCATCTTCACCTGGCTCTCCAACTAGACCAAAACCGCCTGACATTCCTGGATAACCTTCTTTTCCTGATGGGCCTTCTTCTCCTGGCGGGCCTTGAGGTCCCTATAAAAATGTAAATTATAACTTTTGATTAAGAGAACTAGAAATTTTTAAATTTAATGTTGAGTTATATTATAGTAGTATCAATAAGTATTAAAAAAACCAAAAAAGCATAAAAATGCTAAAACCAGCTTACAATCATGCCATTCATGCCAGGATGACCAATAGTACCAGGATAACCGGGTGGTCCGGTCATTCCACGATCTCCATTTGGTCCTTTTGGTCCAGGCATACCATGAACACCATCCTGACCAGGCTGACCATGTTCTCCATCAACTCCAGGCTTACCAAGATTACCATGTTCTCCACTAGGACCAGGTGGACCAGTTCGACCAGGCATGCCTTCAATACCTGGCTTTCCAGCTGGACCCTGCTCGCCCGACTCTCCAGGCGGACCGCCATAACCGGGTACTCCTGGAGGTCCAGGTGGGCAGACACGACATGAAGTGTCGTATGTTTGAGGTTCTGCTGGTAAAGCAACTTCTCCTACTGGTCCACGAGTACCTGCTTCTCCATGCTCACCATTGCTGCCTGGGGGTCCTTCTGGACCTGGGGGACCGGCGGGGCAGTTGTTGTCGGATGTCATGCAGTCTGAAGGTTATTTTATGTCATTTTCATTTTGTTATATTTAACAAGTTAAAACGGGAGTTAAAAGCGTATTTTACATTGAAACTGCAGCTGATCGTAGGAAATTTGAACTTACGACATTGATCTTTAGCCTTTCGTTTACTTCTGACAGCTAAAAGTGCTGGTGAGGATTGACGTAGCTCTTTTGCGCTTAACCATACTGCTTTCTAAAGCTTTTTTTATAATTCATTTGTAAAATTGTACCCTATCGTATTTTACAAAAAAAATAAAACTTAATTTTGCTGTTATATGGCTAAACATAAAGCTATCTCCTCTATTACAATAAGCAAATCAGCCTTTACAAAAGTTTTTTTTATTTTTACCAACTCATTACCTCAGAAATCTCAAAATTGTGGAGTTCCAACTTGCTGAACCTCTTAATCTCTTCAATTTGTCCAAAAAAGTATGGTAAATACAGAGTAGTAAAAGCAATTGACACTGTCGCTAGACATATCGCTACAATTCCGGCGGAATGCGCCGACTCTTGTGAAGCCATAACTGAACTGATAGCGGATGAAATCCCGTTTAAATTGGTTTTATCAACTGGTAAACAAAAATCTCGTTTTTACTGTTTTTGATTGCTAAACAGGATTGTATGGTTTGTAAATAAGTTGTTCTATTTGTCTTCTATTTGACATTAAGTATGGGTTCCTTACATAGCATTCGCAAAGTATCCTTTAACTTTAGTTTAAAATTTCAAAAAATTAAAAAAATATATTTTTTAAATTTTAAAAATTTCACTTTTTTTGTCACTTTGATAATTTTTTAACATTATCATAACAAAACCATCGATAGCATTGTTTATTCGGCATAAACAATATCTATAAATAACAAGCTTTAGATAGCAATATCCGTCCATAAATAAGTTAGCAGTTTATTCAGCGGTCGGTTCGGCATCGTATTCGACCGCTTCCTCATCGGCAGTGGCTTCTTGATATTGTTGATATTCGCTGCACAAGTCGTTGAGATTGGACTCGGCTTCGGTGAACTCCATCTCGTCCATTCCTTCGCCGGTGTACCAGTGGAGGAAGGCTTTGCGGCGGAACATGGCTGTAATATTAGGTTGTCAAACAGCGTTTTATTAGGTTGTTCAATTATATAATTTGGCGTTGTCTAATTAATTCTGTGCTCCCTCTTACGTGAAATTGTCGGAGTCAATGAGCACAGAATTAATTGAACTACTTAATAGCAAGCAATGTTTAAGTTTTGAAGTTTTTATGATAAGAAAAACAATTTTTTTGGTCAACGTATACTACTACAATATAGTTGATACTATAAACCTTGAAAAAATTTACCAAAAAATTCAAATCCCCCTCCATAATCCCCATATTGATGTTGTTTACTCAAAAAAAAACAATAAAAGCGTGTTCCCTTACCAGTGAACTGATCAGAAATTCTCTTGAACAACTCCTGAATGCATGTGGAATTTCCGATGAAGGTGGCACTCATTTTGAGGCCTCGTGGCGGAATGTCGCAAACGGCAGTCTTCACATTATTCGGAATCCAGTCCACGAAGTAGGCCGAGTTCTTGTTTTGCACATTCAACATCTGTTCGTCAACCTCCTAAATCAGTAATGTAAGATATGAAGCTATGATATCTTTGGTATATATCAGGTTGTTCAAATTATTCTGTGCCTCTTTTCAAAACAAATTTGGGAAGTTAAGAAGGGCAGAATTAGCTGAACAACCTAATATAATAATTCGTATCATCGTAGCTTAGAAACAAAGTAAAATATAGTCATACTTTCATGCTCATCCTTCCTCTGAAGATAGCAGCTGCAGTAAGATATCGACCGTGTCTTGGGTCGCAAGCGGCCATCATGTTCTTGGCATCAAACATTTGTTGTGTTAGCTCAGCTACACTAACAGCACGGTAGCCTTGATTGCCTAAAATTGTTTTTTTAAAACCTTTTCCTTTAGCTATACCTACTCTTTGAAGTCAACGGAGCAAAGCCAGGCATAAAAAAGTGTAGCCTAGGGAAGGGTACCATATTAACCGCGAGCTTCCTCAAATCAGCATTAAGTTGTCCAGGGAATCTCAGACATGTAGTGACTCCACTCATCGTAGCACTAACCAGATGGTTCAAATCTCCGTATGTTGGAGTAGACAATTTCAGCGTTCTGAAGCAGATGTCGTAGAGCGCTTCATTGTCAATGCAAAAAGTTTCGTCAGTGTTTTCAACCAGTTGATGTACACTTAAAGTTGCGTTGTATGGTTCGACAACTGTGTCGGACACTTTTGGGGATGGTACAACGGAGTAGGTGTTCATGATACGGTCGGGGAACTCTTCTCGGATCTTTGAGATCAAGAGGGTGCCCATGCCTGATCCTGTGCCTCCGCCAAGAGAGTGGGTTAGTTGGAAACCCTAAATATTTTATTATTTAAAAATGATCTATTTAATCACTATTAGTCATATATACAATATAATTTTAAGCAAATTTACTTATTTCAAGAATTGAAAATATTTTACAAAATTTAATTCTTTTACCTGAAGGCAATCACAATGTTCGGCTTCTTTCCTAATCACATCTAATACACTATCAACTAACTCGGCGCCTTCTGTGTAATGCCCTTTGGCCCAGTTGTTCCCGGCTCCACTTTGGCCTAAAATTTATTTTTAAAAAAATTTTAAATTTCCAAAAAAACTAAAATTATTTTAAAATTAAAAAAAATAATTTTTTACGCTTTAAAATTTAAAAATTCAAAAAGTTACCAAAAATAAAGTTGTCAGGTCGAAAAAGTGCTCCATACTGTCCAGATCGTACTGAATCCATAGTACCCGGCTCCAGATCCACCAACACAGCTCTTGGTACATATTTCTTTTCGGAAGCTTCATTATAATATACTCCAATTCTTTCTAACTGAAGATCAGAGTCTCCTTCATATTCACCTTGAGGGTTGATGCCGTGTTCGTCGGATATCACCTCCCAGAACTAAAAAACATAAATTATTATAAATTTTTTTAAAAAAGCAATTTTAAAATGGCATTTTTGATACTGTAAGGTATGTTGTTACCTATTTTTGTAATTTTTTAATTTTTTATGAAAACCTCAAGTTTCTATTGTATTAGGTAGTTCAAATAATTCTGGGCCATTAACTCTAAAAACTTTCTTTGATAGGGGGTACAGAATTATTTGAACAACCAAATATAACAATAGGTCTATTTCACAAAGTTTTGTCCACTAACACCTCAATAACACCCCTCACAGTCCACCAAAACCTCTCCAACACCTCTTTACCACACCCCACCAACACCCCTACCTTGGAGCCAATCTGATTCCCGCACTGACCAGCCTGAATATGCACAATTTCCCTCATTTCCACTTCCAAAAACGAAACGCCGGCTTCCGCGGGGCCAAGATCCGAAACTGACCGTCTTGATACTCGTCCAAAAGGGATCCGAAGCGAAAGGGACGGTGCCAAATGAAAAAAGTAATGAACCCGATGCCTTTCCCTTCAGTTTTGAATGCATTTCCAATGCGAGTCATCCCTTGAAACACATGAAATATGGAGGAGCACAACAATGCTAGAAACGAATGGCATCTAAACAATGTTCATAGAATAAACAATTTGTTGTTGACAATTGATGCAAGACAATAATACAGAACTTTGTGTAGGTGGGGTTACTCATAATGAAAAAGATGATAAATATAATAGAGTGAAATTAAATTTAATTCTGGCATTGTTTTATGTTTTTCTAATTTGGATGAAAAATAAATGTTAGGCTACTACAGGCTCCAAATATTTGTCTTTATCTAATACTGCAACTTTTTAATGCATTTTTATATTGTCGGTAGATGATAGATGTCTCTAACTTACCTTTTCGGCTAACAAGGAAAGTACTCATCAATCTGTCCCGCTCAACATCAACTCCAATTTTTTATATGAATTATTTGTACAACTAATATTACACATAAAAAATTTTAGCTTGTACTTTTGAGTTTTAAAATTTAAACATTTGAGGTTTCCGCCAATTTGGCAAATTTGTCATTATGTTGCAAACACTTTCTCGACTTGGTTATGCTTACAATTTAAAAAATATGTAGGTCTATTTAGTAAAGGTTTCTTACAAGTATATCAGAAAAAAAAAAAAAAAATCAAAAAATAACTAAGTTATACGTTTGAAACAAAATGCCAATTTGGCGGAAAATTCAAAACAGTTTTTCAATTTTGTTTTCTCGAGATTGACTGAAAAGCGCACTTTAGTACATTGCTGAAGATCTTGTTTACATGATCTTTCTGTATATAAAAAGTCAATCAGAGTTCGAGCACTTTTGAAAATCTAATAACTATGGTATAAAATAACAATAATATATAAAATAAGTTTTGATATTGTTTTCTTAAAAATGATATAAACAATGATAATATAAGGGTTTTACCATTTTAATTATGTTATGTTTTAGTTAAATTTTTTAAAAAGCTTGAAAACAATATCAAATGTTTTCAAAAACATATTTCAACAATTAATTTATGTAAAATACGCATTATAAAATAACTTGTTTTATTGAAAATTTTTTACTTTGTTCTGTATCTGTTATCATTTACTGTAACTATGAAAATATTTTTTGTTGTGTCATTTGTAGTTCTTGTAAGTTTTTAGATTATTTTTACTTAGTATTAGGTTTTTTAAATGATTCTGACTACTGTAATTTCAACTTTATAGCTTATTCTTCGCACGGTTTCCGGTCAAACGTGCCAACCGCACAGTACGTATAGCGACTGTGCTAGTGCTTGTCCTCTCACCTGTCAAGTTGTTGTGAACGGACCTTATCACACTGTTTGTCCTTTGATCTGTTTGAGAGGTTGTGTTTGTGATCAAGGCTATGCTTTGTATAATGGCAGATGTGTTCGTATTAAGAAGTGCTACAAACTGGGTATGTTATCGAGTAGCTTGAGAACAACATAACATAATAATACTATAATAGTATCCTCGCCTAGAAAATATAATTCTGTCACTTATACTTACACAAAGAACAGTATCTGATGACGTAATTTACCTAACCTTACAATAAAAACTTGGAAACAATAATTTTTATATTAATGTTAATATAGCAAATGTAAAATTATTTTAGTTCACTAAAAATGACAACTGATGGCTTTGCTTGAACAACACGATAAACTCTTCTGTGTCGTTAACATACCAAATTCAAAACCACTACGTACGCTGTAATGTGTACACTGTAATATATATAACATAGTATTATATTTTACGACAAAACTATAGTAATTTCAGCAAACATTGTCGTACAAAAATATTTGTATATAAGTTTTTATAGTGTTTTTATGATTCCGTATTTGAAATTGTTTTTATGCCATGTTTATCTTGCAGAAATAAAGATTATTTAAAAAATAATTTGCTATTAAAGTTAATCTGTGATCATATGTACACATTTGTCAATGTAAAAAAGTAAAACTAATAAAAAAACTATAAGTTTGCATAAAATAAATAAAGATAAGTATTCATCTTGCTTCGTTCAAAATCATTTTAAAATTTATATTTGTATCAATAGGAACTGGTGTGGCTCCGGCCAATAAACCAGTGGACTCAGGTTCGGCCGACTGCTTCGCCTGGGACAAGCGCGTTTGTAATTTACAACTGAATGGGTAGCAGTGTCAAGTGCACAAAGACTATGACAAATCGATTGCTGCACCTACACAGGCATCTGATCAATAGGTTGCTCTAGCGGTGTTTACCAAATCCACACCATCTCCTCTCAATTTAACTTATGTACCTTAAAAAAAGAAAAAAGTTCTTTTTAATTGAAATACTCCACGGCATGATGAAATTCAGAAGTATTACATATATGTAATCAGATTTTTGCCACTTCCGTATTTTCCAAAAAGACATAAACAAAGTGATGATATAATAAAAGTTTTACCATTATAATCATGTTATTGTTTTTCCAAAATTTTTCCAAATTAATGTCAAATGTTTTCAAAACTATATTTCAACAAGTAATTTATGCAAAACTTCTTTATAAATTGACATTCTATCACCTTGTTGCTCACTTTGGGAAGTCAGCATATAAGATATCACTTGATTTAACTTGGTGAAAGTAACTATGCAAAAGTTTATGGTTCTGTCATTTGTAGTCCTTGTAAGTTATATTTTATTTCTAATCAGTATTACGTTCTTCAAATAATTATGTGCCCTCTAACTTTAAAAATTTGCTTTGAGAAAGAGCACAGAATTATTTGAACAACCCAATAGTTATGCATAGTTTGTTCATGTTTAGACGTTATATTTAGTGTGTTTTGTATGATGACATGTATAACAAAGTTGTAATGTCATACACGACAAACCTACTGTAATTTCATTCTTAAGCTTCTTTGTGGCAATGTTGTTGGTCAAACGTGCCAACCGCACAGTCATTACAGCGATTGTGGTAGTCCTTGTCCTCTTACTTGTCAAATTGTGGTGAGTGGTCCATACCATACTGCTTGTCCTACATACTGTAAAGAAGGCTGTGTTTGTGACCAAGGTTATGCTCTGTACAATGGCAGATGTGTTCGTATTAAGAGATGTTACAAATTGGGTATGTTGTCAAGTAAATTGTTTGAGAACAAGGTAGAGTATCGACTTGTATTTTACTAATTACAATTTTATTTTTTATATTTGGTACAACTTACATTGTTAATTTTAAATTTAAAAATTGTTTTTATTACTCGATGAATTAAACAAACTATTTCAGTTCACTAACGAAATGGCCATTGAAGAACCTACATCAACAAAAAAGTTTCGTATCTTTCCTTATTTACAATGTTAAACTGTTAACGTTTCTAGTCCTCTTTCCAACAGCATTATGTTATATTTTCCAACAAAAAAAACGGGGCCATACTAGAGAAAGCACCCAACATAATAAAAGCACCCACTAATGGTTTAAAGCACCCAGCAATCTTTATTCAAATTTTATCATTATGAAACGTGGCGGTTTTGAAGAGCGGTGTAGAAGTGTCCAATTCGTGAATGGCGATTGTTGTAGCGAAAACTGAAAAAAATATAATAAGGTGCACGGCTACTGTAACTAGATAGTTGGCCACTATAACTAGATAGTTGGCTACTGTAACTAAATAATGAGTTACTGTAACTAGATGGTTGGCTACTGTAACTAGGAAACGGGCTACTATAACTAGATAGTTGGTTACTGTAACTAGACGGTTGGCTACTGTAACTAGATAGTTGGCCACTACAACTAGATAGTTGGCTACTATAACTAGTTAGTTGGTATTTTACTACTGTAACTAAATAATGGGCTACCGTAACTAGATAGTGGCTGCTACAACTAGATAGTTGGCTACTGTAACTAAATAGTTGGCTACTATAACTAAACAATGGGCTACTATAACTAAGATAACATTAATACTATGGTAAAATCAAACGTATTCTTTAAGTAAATACTAAATTCTTACCTGTTATCCATCTGTATAGCATAGTAAAAGTCTTCATAAACTCGATAGAAGATGACTTCTTTGAAGGTGGTTGATCTTGGCCTAGGTTGTCAGGTAGTCGATGTATCTATGATCACCACGGTCAGATTCCATGCTGACCCGACCGTCTCACGCAGTCGATAAAATATGAATGACCGTTTTCAAAAAAGGAAAAACAACAAAATGAAATTGCAAGATTATGCAAAATTTGAATACTTTTGGGTGCCTTAAATAGGATAAAAATTGGGTGCTTCCATTAGTAATACTGGGTTATTTCTTTAGATTACCGCCAAAAAAACTTTGTACAACATCAATATTACGGTACATTGTTTTTTGTTTGTATAGTACCCTTCAGATGCATGCTAATATCAATTCGACAGTAGTTATGTTTACTTTAGATTAATAAAAGTTACTTTTTTTTATAGATTTTAATTAATTGAATCTTTTTTATAAGATGTTCTAAACGTGAGGCCCGGGCCGGTCCGGACCCATTTTTCAAGCTATGCCAAATATAAATTTTGCTCAGGTCCGGCCTGCTTCGGATTGTTTTACGTGAAAGCTGCAACAAGTATAAAGATATAATAAATTCGAACAACACAATAATAAATATAAATTTTACAATGGCAATACTCTTATTTTATTGTTTTTTTTTTCAAAACTCGATACCTACCATCTATATCTACTATAAAATCATCAAACTACCACTTCATACGTTGTGACAATATGCACAAGCGTACTAATGTCAACAAAAATGTCGTATAACAATAATATTTGTATATTTTTATGTTTTTCTTGTATATCTTCCTGACTCAATATTGTTCAAAACTGTCTTTTTAGTTATGTTTTTGACAGTAAAAAACTTGTTTCAAAACATCTTAAACTTGTTCTTTTCTTATCAAATGCGCATGTTTTTTAAAACTAAACATTGATCTACCATAAGCACGTTTTTTTAAATAAAAAATAGGATTAGCATAACAACAACCGTATTATGCTACAATAGAAACCAAAGGACAATGTAATTGAGTTGGGTCAAAACATTGATAGACACTTGGACTTTACTTTTTTTACTTTACAATGGTTTTCTTTATTTTTTTGTAATCCTTTAAATATTGTATTTGAGATTGCAATAATTTAGATTGAAGTCGCCACCGTATTTTAACCAACTTTTGAAGTTTAAAACTAAAGTTTTTTACTATTGTGTACATCTTACCCTTTACCATTAGTCACCGAACGCTGTCTAATAAACTGATTTTGTCCTGTTTATTTGAGAAGGCAGTAAACATTCATAAAAGTCCTCCCATTTTTCGCTGAATTCGTGTAAAAAGATTTGGAACGGTATTTAAAGCCAGCCGTTTGTCGTTACTCTCAACTTGAGTTTACTATCTGTTCACTTTCAACATGCAAAAGGTCTTGGCTTTGTTCGTTTTGGCTTTGGTAAGAAAAGTTTTATTTTTAAAATTTATATTTATAAATTAATTTTTATTTTTAAAATTAATAATTACCTAAAATTTCTTATGGCCGCATTTTACAAAATAATTTTTTAAATTTTAAAAAAAATTTAGGCCGTTTCAACCACTTTGGCCGCGAAGAAATGCCCAGAGAACAGCACTTTCAAAGAATGTGCCAGAGCCTGCCCAGTTACATGCCAAGACGTTGTTGATGGTACCACTGACAAGGTCTGTATTGAGATTTGTGTGCCAGACTGCGAATGTAACGATGGTTTTGCTCTTCACGATGGCAAATGCTACCAAACTGCCGCTTGTGCTCAATATGGTAGGTTGTTACTGGTACTATTATATGAGATTTAAAAGCTAAAATTAAAGTATTTTAAACATTATCAACATCAAGTTCAATATTAATGCGTTATAATAAGTTTAGGCTCGGCATCTTGCATATTTTAAAATTATCATTGATTTAACTTATTAATGTCATTATTTTTTGAAATTCACAAAAAAAATAGGCAATAATATAACGTATTATACATGTAAAAACAACACAGTCTAATATTTTACATTTTCAGCCAAAAAACAGTAATTCCACAATAAACCTTCAGGTGTAATATCACGAACCTTCGAAATGCCTGTATTAATAACACACTATAAATTAAAAATTATTAATAATTAATAAACATTCATTCACATCTAATTTTAAAATTCTGAAACCACAATCTCCTCAGAATCATTTTTTATTATTTCTATCATACGAGAAGTCTCATGCAACCTGCAGTTTCTTTAAAGCAAGTCGCGCCCAGTATTTAATAAAAGATTTTTTCTAGCGGACAAAATTTTGTTTATAACGCGTTATAATGGTATTTTATGGCCCGATCTAACCTAACACGTCTAAAATTATAACACTTTCGACTAAAATTGTAAGTTTGTTTTATTTTCTAAGTTTTGTTGTTTTAGATAATAAATTAGATGGATAAGAAGCGATAGTCGTAAATCTAAGTTTACCAATAGAAGCTGGGCTTTGAGCTTTATTGTAAATGTAAAAATGACTTTTATGTTAAGGATGATGCCATTTTAATTCTGTTTTACTGTTAATTACCTTTTTTAATTGGAAAAGAAGATGGTCCTTATTGAGGTAGATTGTCATTTACATTAATTTAACTGTTGGGAATCTGACTTGTTTCACAGAGTTGCAGTTTATAGGTAAATCATTCATGTTTTAGTGTTTTTAAATTAGTTTGGTAGATCTGAATGTGGCTTTTTGTTTTTTTTTCTACTTTTTAACAAATGTTTTACATCCGATTTTTTGTTAACTAGGTAAAAAATTTCATTGTAGCACTTCGTATGAAAGTTATTTTATTGATAACATTGTTTGTAATAAGCCACTCTGTAGTAAGAAAGAAGTTAAGATTAAGAAAAAACCCACTTCGTTGTAAGAAACAAGTTAAACTCAAGAAGAGAGCTACTATTAGTAACTACAACATTGTTGGATCTTTAAAAAGCTTGTCAAAGGAAAAGCTTGTTATAGTCAAATCAAATTGTTCAGTTTTTGATGGGTTTTTTGACGGATTTTGCTACCGGCTATCTAAAACTTATGCTTTTACACGAAGGAATATCTTTATAGTAAAGAAGATACAGTGATTACCCAATATAACGAATCGCAAGGGGATTGAAAAATTGTTCGTTGTAACGAGGTTTCGTTATATCTGGAGTTTTTTTATTAAAGAATCAAGGCAAATTTTTTTTGGGTTTCAAAAAATTTCGCTATAACGGGGGTTTCGCTGTAAGCGGAGTCCTATTATATATATTAACGAGTTTACATTGCCCTTGGTTTTACCATAGCCATTACCACTAAAAGAACAGCTATTGAAAGTAAAATTTTTTAATCAAGAGATACATAGATGTTTTGTGACTTTTTAAAAAGAATCTCTGTAGTTTATTTTGATCTACTGGCTATTAAATAACTATTTATAAGGCCTTGTGTTCTTAGTGGTACGAATTTTACAAAAAGTAGCAAAAAAAATATGTTTTGTACTATGTAGTACCATCCTCTAACGTTTTTCACTTATTCAGTACTCCTGAACCCATCATAATAGTAATTTTGCAATTTACAGTCATTAACCCAATAAACCTCTAATAAGAAACCCCAAACGTCATATTAACCTGTAGAACGCGTACTATGCCATAATAATTGACGGCTGTGCTTTCTGGTGGTCGTAAAGGAGAAGAAGGAGGTCGGGGTCTTCTTCTTCGTCTTGTTGGTTTTTTATTCGCACAATGTTTTTGCTGCTTCGAATCGCGCATTTCAAGGTCTCGACTGCGCTTTTTCGAATCCGAGAAAAGCAGCTCAGGTGCGGGGGGAGGGGGGCCTGTATATCTCTTCTTATCCCAAACGTCTCACCTAAACCGAAGGTCGAGTTGTGGGCGAACAGCCGCAGGGGTTTTATGCAAATTTGTGGTTACGAACCGATTTATATTATATTATAGTAGGTACCGGGTGTTATGATGCTATGGAGCAGATGTTAGCGGAATGTAGGTCAGTAGGTGAGCGACCAAAAAGCGATGTTTTAAGACGTTTTATTATGTTGAACTCTTATGTTTTGTGTGGTACTGTATGGTACTGGTTTTTGGGGTATATTGTACTAGAATTGTGGTACTATTGGAAAAAATTGTTTTGGAATTTTAATATTGAAGTGACTACATGCCTATAGTAACATTTTTATTTTACATTACTTTGCCTATTGTTACCTCTTAGTTAGCCTAGAACTCGTTAAAATATTTAAAATGTCATTTCAGGTGTAGAATGACTAAAGCCCTTGAGTAGACGATGATGAGCGTGCTCGATGAGCTGATGTGGACGTGGGTGTCGGGCGAGAATCCGGATGAGAACTCGTTCAAATGTCGCTGGGCCGACTGTTTCATGTCGTTGAAGGACGCCGCTCATCTGGAAGCACATCTGGAGGAACATGTCAACCACATCTCAACCAAGTGGTTTCCTGGTGGTAAGGGGATTTCTCGAGATTGGGGTGGTACTATTAGTACTACAGAAATGCTTTTTAAAAAGTATTTTTTTTTAATTCAGGCTTTGAAAAAGAAAAAAAATTCAAAATTTTTATTTCAGCTTTAATCGCCTGCGGCATTTACGGCTGTACTGTACATTTAAACGACCCAACCGAACTTCAAAGCCATATCCGCCTTCATATTCACCACGCCCTGTGCCAGAAAAACGGTCTAAAACATATCAGGCAAAATTGTACAAATTTAACACAGTAAGCCCTTTCATTCATTTTTAAAATCTAAAATTATATTTTAAAATTTTTTAAATCAATTTTTGTTAATACTAAAGTTTAATTCATGTTAGAGCTAATAATATCATATTTCAGCTGCTTCTTCCAACCAAGTGCTGTAGTGGACCATTATGAACACCCAATTGTATGTTGTTGGATGCAATGTAATGTAAGTCCGCCACCTTTGGTATTTGGATATTTTGTGTTTAGGCTCAATTTCAAAAGGTTTCGGAGTTTGTGAAGCATCTCAAAGATCACGCTTATTGCATGGACGAAGTTCGATACACAGATGGCAACTTCTACTTTGAGTGCAAGTGGGAAAACAGTAAGATTTATGTTGTTGGTATATTTAAAGTGAGAGGGAATGAAAAAAGTTATAATTTTAAACAAAAAATCGAAAAACTAGTGATTGAAAGATGGGTAATATTAATAACTTTCTTTACAATACCTAAAACACCTTAATTTAGATTGTGAATCAACATTCTTCGACCGCTTCGCCCTCAGTCGTCATGTAATCGCCCATTCCGACTGCAAGACCGTAGCCTGTCCCTTTTGTGGCACCACCTTCTCATCGTACCAAAAGCTAATAGAACATTCATCACGCCGAGCATTCGAAGCAGAAAACTCACACAAATACGTATGTTATCTATGCCAAAAGTTCTTTGGATCGTCCAAGCTTCTAAGAGAACATTGTGAACGACACGTTAAGAGGTTCGCATGTCCTCATGAGCCATGTCAATACGTTGCGAACCGGGAATCGGACATGATCAACCACGTCGAGAGTGTACATAACAAAAATAGACCGTTTCAGTGTGAACAGTGCACTAAAAGGTAAGGGAGAGGGATTTTACTTACTAGGGAATTGCACCAAATATCCCTCGGATTTTTGAACGAGACCTATATAGGATGAAAAAGCATAAAAAGTTACCGGGAGAACTGTTTTCAAAAACTGCTAAATGGACTTGGCTAGCGAGTTACAGTATGCTCTATATCCTTATATGTTTAAAGGGTATAGCTTTAAAGTTCAAAAAATGATATTTTTTGATAATTATTTTTTTCTAAATGTGTCTAAAAACAAAAAATAAAACTTAAAAAATATTTTTTTAATCAAAATATTGTTTGGCTAGCCAAAAATTCCTGTCAGGATGGCTGGGCGCCAAAATGAAACCGACGGGATTCGAACTTTCCCCCTTCTGCACCAATTAGGAAACCCTATGTAAATCCTTTAATCGCTAATATCTCGCTAGCCAAACCTATTTAGCAGTTTTTGAAAACAGTTTTCCCGGTAACTTTTTATGCTCTTTCATCCTATATAGGTCTCGTTTGAAAAGCCGAGGGATATTCGGTGCAATTCCCTAGTTAGTGGAGAATATGAAATATCTTAAGATGATATTAATTTTTAAGCCAAGAAGTTAAATTTTAAGCTAAAACCAAATGTATGAGTTCTAAAATTCACTTTTAAAAATATTTTTACTAATTAATACCTAAAATTTTCCAGCTACGTCAAAAAGTCCGACCTAACCAAGCACCAGGCCTCTCATTCCGGCCTAATGTTCCGCTGTCCTCACTGCAGTATCGAGTTCGCATGGCAAAAACAACTCAAACATCACCTTCAAACTCACGACCCCGACTACATCAAGTCACCCTACCTTTGTCATATTTGCGGCTCAACGTATCAGCGAGGCTCAGCTTTGTCGAAACACCTGCGAACGTTCCACAAGCTCACTGTGCCGCCCGGATTCACACGATTCCAGTTCAAAAAGTGCTCCGACAACATGTTCAGACTCGAAACTGAACGAGTTATGGCCGATGAAATGAAATTCACCATGAATCTGGCTTCACCAATGTACACAAACACTCAGGAATATATCATGTAGCTACATGTTGGCTTTTAGAGGTTAACATGAGTCTTTTAGAGGTTAATATAGATTATAGATGCTAAATGCGGTCATATATATTACCTACATTAATATAAGTTTAGTCTGGTCATGAAATGACAATTTTTATTATCTTCTCGCCACAATTTTATTATTTTATGTTAGTCTAGCTGATATCTACGATTTTTGCGTTTAGTCTGGCTAGAAGTTTTATTTTTAAGTTATACTTACCATGCTCTTTTGATGTCGTATCTTATACTCACTATTAAAACCTTTATCTAATAATGATAAACCCTAATGTTTTCTTAAACTTTTCTTCCATATTTTTTTCAAAGTTTAACCTTTTTCGACTTTACTATAACCATTTCTATAGATTCCTTCATCCTATATAACTTTATGTTGTTCATACTAGCCAACTTAATACACGGTGCCTTACTCATCTTCAGACCAAATCACTTTGTTCTTTCACTAATAATTAATATCAGCAATAACAGATTAGTAACAGCTCTGTTGTCCACTCTAGATTTTTATTTTTGTCTATGTGGTTCGTTTACTTTGTCACAATCTTATGTTTTGCCAATTACTTTGTTTGTAATAAATGATAAAAACTTGACATTGAAAGTCCAAAAACATTGATGAATAATAAATTTAACAGATCTTACTTAACTTAATTTTTGATTTTTTACAAATATACATAGAAAGAAGAGTGTTGTTAGTGTTAAATTACGTTGCGAAACGGTGTTTTTTGAAACAAAATTTCTAATTCGGTATGTTACAGTCGAAATATCAAAAAACTTACAATTACAAAAATGTTGCTCATGCCCAAAAACCTCGTCTTGCAAATTTTTGCACCATCCCGACAATTATTATGTCTGCACGACAAAATTTTGTTTTACATTTTCTTGTTCCGCAAAAAAAGTAGACTTGACGTTTGTAGAAGGAAAGTCTCGACACAAAGAAAAATAATTTATTTTTTGGAAATAAAATTGGGTTTCCTTAAAGTTTTTATTAAAATACGCGTTAAAAATAATTTTACAGTACTGAAAATAGTTAAGTTGGAAGCTTTTATAAATTTACAAGGTTTTACGGTTATTTTCAGCTGGTTATTCAGCTTTATATTGTTTTTATCGCTAATGTTTTATCGTTATTCTTTTAGGATGCTTCGTTCCTCGCAAATTCCTCGAAGGTTGTTCTCAATATCTTCAATAAATAGGATTTTGAGTCAAGAGTTTAGGTTGGACAATGAATGGGAGCAACGTATTTCTCATTTGAAGGAATTTAATATGGGAGGATCTTATGAATGGATAACATCAGTTCAGAAGAAGATGGCTGGTGATGGAAAGGCCAGGTAATTTTTTGTTTTCATTTTATGTTTTTAGGTATAATTTTTTTGCTTTAACAGACTAGTTTAGGTCTTAAAACATTGTTTTAAATGGTTTTCGATATTAAACTTGCTTTTTAGTGCTATTGATGTAGATGCTGCCGTATGCATTGCGAAAGAGCAGGATCAGGTTGAAGATGTTGTGGACTTGGTTTACAAACTTAGGCACACTTCAAACGCTGGATTTACATTACCTTCTACATCTTATGGACTTGTTAGACTATTGTTAAAATATGATCAAGTTGCTGAAGTTTTTAAGGTGTTGAATGATAGTGTAAGTAAACTTTAACATTTTTTTTGTATTTTTAGTTTATTTTCGTTTGTTTTTGGCGTATAATTTTATAGTAAAAGTATTATTTATTTATGGGATACAAGTTTAAATGATTATAGATAAACTATGGTGTATTTCCTGACGAACACGCTTACGCTGTATTGATAGACTACTTTTTAAAGAAGAACAACGTTCCAGGTAAGTTTTTATATTAGTTTTAAACATTTAGATATTGAAAATGGAAGTTAACCAACCAATTTTATAAAATTTGATGTTTTAGGTGCAGCAAAGGTGGCATCAATGGTGATGCAACAAGAGATGTTTGACAGTGAATTATTGAATTTGGTTGGAGTTTACAGTTTAATCAAGTTTGTTGAACTAGAAAAAGATCAAAGGGTATTTGATGATGTTGTTAATGGCAAAGAAGCGGTAGAAGAGTCGAATGACATGGATTTTGAAGACGAGGTAAGTGCATTGATTTTTTTATTTTTGGTAAAAATTTAAAAAAAGTTGTTTGAAAATTGAAATTGTGGCTTAACAGACTAGATTGAGTCTTTTTTAAATGTTTTGTAGTTGTTGAAGCACCTATAGATAATGATTTAGAATACTTCATAAAGTAATGGCTAATATTTTAGCTGACTTTCCGTTTCCCCTATCTACGTCCTGCTTATAATGATAATCATTTTGATATCGAATCGGCAAAAGATTTGGTAGCAAAATCTTTAGATTGGTATTCATGGTACAAGCCTGAATGGAAACCAAGTCTACAGTTGTTATCAGCAGTAGTGAAAGAAGATGTCTCTAAAGTTAAACTGATCTTGGAAAAGAAAGAGAAATTAGAAGGTTCAGCTGTTGGATTGGCTAAAAAGCTGATTGATGAATATTCTGGAGTTAATTCGGAGGAGGTAAAGGAAGGAGAAGAAGCTAAAGAAGGTGGAGAAGAAAAGAAGGAAGGCGAAGAAGCAACGGCAGAAGAAGCTGGGCCGTGGGATGAGGTTAAGGTAAGAAGATAATATTAAGAAGGATTTTTTTTTAAATTTTTGACTTAATTTTTAAAATTTTTTCAACAACTTTGTCATTAAAAGTCTCATACATAATTTTTCAGAAATTATTGCCAAAATCAGAGACCACAGAAGCGTTCTCTACAGTAGTCCACAACCACATCAAGGCGAATCAAGCTAATCTTGAGCAAACGTTAATCAGACAAAAAAAAGACTCATTCACAAACTGGGCCAATCGACGAAGGGAACTTATTCATGCTCAAGCCGAACACCTCGAACTTCAGCTTCAGCTCAAAGAGATTGCGAATGAACGTCAATTAGCAAAGGAAGAGATCAAGTTGTTGCGATTCTTTGACAACCGAGTGGAATGGGAAGATAAGGCCAAGGAAATGGACGAACTGTACCACGAGTTCCAGCTCGATGTTGAGGATGAAAGTCAGACAGAAGAAGTTTATGGCCGCACGATCTTTGACAAGGTCAGAGATGAACGCAAAATGGCTGTGCATCAAAAGAAATGGTAGAAAGGTTGTGGTTATTTGGATATTAGGATTGTTTTTATTTGTTTTTTGTTGAATAAAAGTTGAAAAATAGCTTGTTATTCTTGTTTTTATTAATGGGTCATATACCGTTTATATTTAATTTTTTATGAAAATTTTTAAATTTTAATATTGCTTTTATAGTTCACTTTATTTGAGTAATAATGGCCAGTAAGGATGTTAACTACAGGGGAAAAATGCGTATGTTTAATTATATGTGTAATGTGTATTTACGGTATTATGTTAGCATCTAAAGGTTATGTTTTATAGGTTTTTTACTAAATTGACTTATATTAGGTTGTGCAAATAATTCTGTGCTTTTTAACCTTGAAGATTGGCTTTGAAAGAGGTTAAAGAATTATTTGAACTACCTAGTATTTGTTTGTCATTATTATTGATAAAAGATCTGAAAACCTTTGAATTCAAAATTGACTTTTCAGTAGCCGAAAAGATCTCAGAAAGCATTCACGTTGCCGATCATGATCCGTCAATGGCATTATACAGGTTACAAGAACACATTCATAAAGTTTCACCGGCTTTGGTCAATGTAAAGTATTCAAATTACAGGGCAAATGCGGCCATTCAAAATTCTTGTTGTGATTTGGATTTATGCAAGGAGTAAGTTAATTTTAAAAGTTGTTGAGAAAGCAGTTTAGTGTAAAACTTATTACTGTTAGGTTGTTAACTCTGTGCTCTTTAACCCCAAAAATGTGCTTAGAGAGGGGGTGCAGGGTTACTTTAACAACTTAATGAAGATCAATACTCTGTGGTCGGTTTTCTTTTTTTGTAAAATACGGTCTTCTTTTTCATTTCTGCGTAATTTTTATAATTTTGAAAAAAACAACAGATATTTAAAATATTAAATTTTTATCTTAAAAATTTTCAAGGATCACGTTGTTTTTGTTTTCACGCCACCAATTTTAGAACTTTGGAACAAATGAACAAAGCCTCGGGGACGTTTGATCGCGTGCACGACCTACTCAAGAATGCCATGTTTTATAAACAACAACTTAACTATGAAACAACCAGAGCGGCCGATAACAAGTCCTAGACAAGGTTGTTATTGCCATAAAATTTTTTATAAGTTGACAAATGTTATGGTAATGAACATAACAAGTTTTACGTTATATCGTAATATCATAACGTTTTATTTTATGTTGTTGTTATAGATCGGTATAGGCTTTAAGATCTCTGTTTTGTCAATTTTTTTGTGGGTTTGTGATTATTTTGATGAGGTTTGTAATAGAAATGTATATAAAGATATTTTAACTTTGGTATTAAATGACTTTCTTTTTGAAGTTTGTGATTTTCATGGTTTAACTGACGTTTTTGAATGTTGTTGTACACTATACAATCTTATAACTATTTTTAAGTTGTCTTTCTCTATTGTAAAGTAAGTCGCTTCTATTATTCAATTCATTTTCATCTTTCATGCACTTTCATTTTTTCTTTGCTCCAAAGTTGAAATGCACATCATTCCTTATATATAAATGCCACTTCATATGTTATCTTGCAATCATATGATCGTTTGTCCAAAAATCGCAAACTTTTTTGTTTATTCGATATGAAATCACATACACAATCAATAAACACAACGTACGTCAATCTTGCCTCGAGCTATTTTTATTCGATTCGTCTCATCGTTTCGTGCACTATTTCGCGGCTTCTTTGTTTATTACTTTAAGGTCAGGCCGATTTGGCCCGGCTTCAACTTTTTCACGGCCAGTTGTTATAAACAGTTGTGTCAGGTTTTTGGCCGTTTCCCGCTTTTAACGACCAGTTCTTTCGGCTGTTTGAAGGGGCTTTGAATAAGGTTGGGTAAAGGCGTGATACTAGATTTTGGAGGTTGCGGGTAAGGTGCTAAATTAAAAAAGGACAATGGAGCACGTGTTGTTGTTAAGGGGTTACTGTGTAGATAACTTACGGCATTTCGAAACGTTGGAATATAAACTTTAAAAACATTGAATAGAGCTTTGCTTTGGTGGGTATTACTGTGGTATTTCATAGTACTACATGTACTCAGTAATGTCGTACTGTAGTAAAGCTTAACATTTATAACATTGTGTGTAAAGATAAAATTGTTTTTTGTTTTTCATGCTCTGAAAATGTACTCTTGGGAATTGGAAGTTTATCGAGGCAAATACATCTTATTTCGTACACATGTTCACGTGCTTATGTCAATCTCTATTTCTAATACTTTTTATAGATCATATGAATTGTTGTAATACTTACTACACGGTTCATGTGTCCAATGTAGTACACATGTTTACGTACTTATGGGAATTTGTATTTGTAATACTTACTATGGTTCATATGCACAATATAGGTTTTTACACTCAAAAAATTGTACTTGAATTCGGTTTTTGAAGTTAATTTTGTTTTTTGAAAGGAATTTTAAATATTTTGGACTGACGGTTACAAACACTAGTTTATGGTGAAAGACTGGTGTTACTGTGTATTATTGACAGTACGTTATATTGTATAAATTGCTCTATTTTAAGATATATATTTACAAACTTTAAGTGAACGGTTAAGATTAAAAGACTATTTCGGTTATTATTGGGTTGTTCCAATAATTCTGTGCTTCTAACACTAAAAGCTTGCTGTGAAAAGGGGTACAGAATTAATTGAACAATCTTATAGTAGGTTCATAATAAAAAGCTAATGATTTAGCAACATTAACTAACGTTTTGACGACATTTTAACAAGAAAAGTGTGTGTTTCAAAGTAAAATTTATTTTTCATTTTTATATTATAGTAGGAAACTTTTAATAAAAGCTCTTTTAATTAAAGTAATAATATATTCAAAATATGAAAATGTTTATTAATTCACTTATTGATTTGTTTTAAGCTTATTATATACAAGGTATGTGATATCATCAACCAATACAATTCCTTATCATTTTTTTCAAAATTTTAATGATTTTGATAAAAGTTTACCCCGCCCTATTTGTTTACATTTCAATTTTGATAACAGCTTTCGAAAAGAGTTGAAAACAGTTTTGTCGATGTTTGGCCTATTGGCCCATCGTGAGTAATGTTTTAATATTGAAATGGACAAAAGATCATCCGTTCAATTATAAATACAGGGTGTTTTTCATCAATTTTAGTCTTTGCAACATTTAGTTTGAGAATTGTGTTAGGAAGCGTTATTTGGAGAAAAATATTAGGAAATTATGGTAAAATACGGTAATAAAAACGGTGCATGGTCCATAAATTTTGCTTTTTTAAATTTTGAGAAATAGTTAATGTTTCAATTTTAAAAAAATATTAGTTAAGCAGCGATGATTAAATAATGAGGTCTTTTGTTGCTTTTACATTATATTTTGCACTGCGTGATCGATTGTAACTTTAATTATTTATAAGGTACTTTTTTGATAGTTAATAATATAGTAGTACCAAATTGAGTATCAAAAAAGACCTGTCGTCAATTTATATTGATTTTTTTGCTGAAAAGCGACAAGACTTTTTTAGCAGCTTACTATGTATATATTACTATTGATATAGACGAGAAACTATTGGTAATCATCGTTAAATCAACCTGTAGTTTTGAATGTTAGTTTAATATCAAAATTTTCAGTTTTCATACCAAAAAATATGCAATTCCTTAACTTGTGCCTCTTGGTCGTTGTCCTCATCGCTGCTGTCATGCAATGTAAGTTTCATTTCGTTTTTTGGTTTAAACTGACGTAAAAAAACAAATACGTCGCTAAGAACGTTAGAAGAAAACAGGGAGGGGGCGGGGGTGGATCTAACCGGCTCTTAGGACTATATTTCATAAATAGTTCACAGGTACCACTTGTACGTGGAAAATCAGTACCTGTGAACAAAAAGTATTCCTTTAGTTTCATTTTTTGTAAAATACGTTCAGAGCTATTATTCTATTAATATAAAGTAAAAGACATGCATTACTTCACTGATGGTCATAACTAAACAAACTTTTATTTTCAGTCGCTGACGCCGCCGGCTTCTGTACCGAAGACGCCGAATGCTTCAAGAAGTGCGTCTTGGACGGCTACTTGCTCGGAGGTGAATGTAAACTCGTCTTCTGCGACTGTCGCGACTAAACCTTTCCATAACTACTCAAAAAATAACTTTTTACTCTACTGTAAAAATACTCTTTTACCTTTTGTAACTTGTAACGATATAACACTGCAATAAACTTTTACGACATTTTTAAATTGAAGTGAAAGTCAAGATAAATAGTTTATTGTACTTAAAAACTTTAAAAATTTCAAGTATAAGGTCTAATTTCTTCCCTGTGCCATTCCATTATTCAAGAAACCAGTAGCCAGCTTCGCGAAGGCACTGAGAACATCAGGTTGGCTACAACGACATCTGAATCCTTGACATTTCCCCTTCTGATATCCTACATCTTTGCAATCAGCTTCACATGAATTGCCAATTGGGACACAAGCTGATAAAGTTCTTTCTAAAATCGATCACAATATTTATCACTTCCATTCACAAAATTTAGCATTTTTAGGTATAGTGCAGTATTCTGGTGTATAGACTGGTCATGTATAGCTTGCAAAAGTTGATGATAAATTTGAAAAGTCCCGAGTTTTCAAATAATTCTGAGCCACTTTCAAGTCAAAATTTGGGGTTAGAGGGCACAGAACTATTTGAACAACCTAATAGTACTTTAATACGTAAATAGAGTCTCAAAAGTGATAATATTGACAAGGAAGCCTTAAATAATGTAGCTAAAATGTCATAATGTTTACTTTCATGTCTATGTGATTTATAAATCTCAAGACTTCTAAAACACAACTAAAACTCCTTTTTTATCACCTGTGAAAACCCTACCAGGCAACAATCCCTTGACCCATTTCTCGCTGCAAACACATTCCGGAAACCTGCACTCTCCTCTCAAGTAGCCATCTCTGTTACAATCTTGCTGACAACCACCGTCAGTAGCACAGAATCCGGCAGAAGCAACATTTGCCAATACGAATACGAATAAAACTGATAAAAACTTCATTTTCATCGATTCGAAATGGAAAAAGAATGAAATCCGTCAAGCCGGCGTGTTATTAATCTGTTCGGATCGCGCAAAGGCAAGAGACAGATGCATCTAGATGTATAAGTTATGATTGTGGATGAATCAAACTTTTCGGAAAAAAAACATGTCGTAATCGTATACAAAGTCTTTTCTATGTTGAGGACGCAGAAGTATTATAGAAACTCTACCCTTACCCCTACCAACAAAACACTGGCAAATGTGTCTTAAAACTCAAGGTTACGATATTAACAAGAAAGCTACCCAACTGCCCGGCTCAAAATCAGCTCAAAATTTTTATATGAGTTCTTTGTACCACCAATAGTACTCATAAAAAATTTTAGCTAGCATTTTTGAATTTTAAAATTAAAATATTTCAGCTTCTCTCCAATTTGAAAAATTTGGCATAGTGTTTCAAGCACTTTTTTGACTTTACAGGCAAGTTACGCTTACAAATTTAAAATTGTAAGTTCAGTTTATTTTTATCAATGAAAAATTCTTAAAAATCAAAAAATGACAACTTTATAAGCTTGAAACACAATGCATTGCAATGCCAATTTGGTGGGAAGTTTAAAACGTAATTTTTTAATCTCGGTTTTCTTGAGATTGATTGGAAAGCGCGGTTATGTACTTTGCTGAAAGTCTTGTATTTACATGATCTCACTAGGTAAAAAGTTTGAAGTCAATCAAATTAGGACAGGTCGGGCACTTTTCTTGTGTTTTAAAATCAAAAAAAAATTAAAACACAAAAAAATTCAATTTTTCAAAAAATTAAATTTAAAATTTTTTCAAAACTATCGTTTTTCATTTTCAAAATCTTTATTTGCAATATTCTTACCGACCGGCTGCACTATGGCAAAAACTAGTAAAGATGATGCAAAATCGTGGTGTTATCAAACGTTTATGTGGTGCTTGAATACAATACTGGACTTCCTCTTCTTCTTATGGGATTTGATCAATCAAAAACTGTTTGGAAAGTCGAAAAAGGGCAAAAAGAAACAAAGAACAGAGAAAAAGAAGGAAAAGACGTCGGACAAGGAGGAAAATGTAGTCAAAGTTGATGATAAAGCGCCAGAGAAACAACCTGTTAGGGCAATATCACCGTAAGTTAATTTTTTAAAATTTTAGTTAGAATTTAATATAAAACTATCAATTTCAAAAATTACAAAACTTTAAAATTTTTTTTAGAAACGCTCCGACCGTCTTCGAGGACATAAATGGTGCTGTGAAGCCGGCTCTGTGCAACCTTGGAAAGAAGAGCAAGGACAAAAAGAAGAAATTGTTGGCCAAAAAGGACAAAACTCAATGATCATACTACGACTACGTATTACTTTAACTGAAATTTGTACATATTGCAAAATAAACTTTACTTTTTATAAATTTACTTGTTTTTGGTACTATATATATAGTACTACGTATATCTGTAGCTTAAAAAAGTCTTGTCGTTTCTTCAAACGTAAATGATTATGTGTTAAACATGACTTTACAGATATTGTAATACTTCCAAGTTGCTAGCCAGTTAGGTCATAAAAAGTTTGTAAAATGCTCTGTTATCAACAAAATTTGCCACGTGTTACCATGCTGATACATGACACTATATCTCACCTAATAATATCGTAAATCTATCATCTACTCAATTATAAAATATCTATTTATTTTCCATAAAGCAATTAGTCACAAATATAGGTATAGATAAAGGAATTAGATGTTGAATGCCAACTGTCGTAGTAAGTTAATCCAGTAAGTCATTGTTTCTTTGGAACGTATCTGGTTACCACCTTTCCTTGAACAACACGATACTCGACTGCGTATTGCTGAAATTTGTATGTTACAACTTTCAATTCGGTAAAAAGCATTACATATATATTATATTAAGTTGTTCAAATAATTTTGTGCCTTCGCTCCAAGCAGATTTTAGGGATAGGGAGCTCAGAATTATTCGAACAACCTGATATTTACTATCAGTCTTTCCGGAAATGAATGTGACAAAACTGCACAGTGCAGTTTGAGGGAATCGCTGTCTCGCCGAGAATTGGGCGACAAGCGACAAGGTCTGCGACGGTCGCTTGCACCCTGCGACATCCCAATGAGAATCGCAATGTCGCAAGTGCAAAGCTTTGCGACAGACTGTCGTGTCGCGATTCAAATGGCGATGCGACAGCGTGTCGCGGTTGTCGCAACGCTCAAGCCAACACTGTGTTCAATGGAAGGATTGCGACAAGATTGTTTTGTCTGTCGCAGTTCCCTGACTTCTGCGATAACCGACCGGTGGGACACTGAAGAGATTGCACTGTGCAGTCTTTCCTAACATCGCTGGCTTTATCGGGTGATCGCGCAGGAAATCTGCACTGTGCAGCGGAATAAAAAAGGCGCCATTTTCCCAGGGACTGCACAGTGCAGCTGTAACATTTTTTAGTGGAAAGACTGATATAACGAACAACAATTTTAAACCTGAACTGTATCACTTACCACGCCATTGCAATCGGAAGGTGGACCCACTTTCTCGAGTGACTTGACTACGCTAGTCTCAGTCTTTACATTAGATTTCTCTTCTCTGTCTTTAGTCTTTTCATCTACCGGTTCTGGTCGTACTAAAATTAGTTTGATAAGTGTAAAACAACATAAAATTTTTTTTTGCGCCATAATTTAAAAAAAACAAACCAACGCACTCTTAACTTTGAGATCTAACTTTCCATTCTTGGCTTCCTCGTCCATTTGAGCTATCTGTTCCCTCTTCTTGGCTTCCTCTTCTTCTGTCTGCTTCACCAGCTCTTCGTCAATTATCCTTCTGCCAATCTGAATGAACCTTTCGATGTCTTTTTCTTTCAGAATGTTTTGTTGTGTCTTCTCCTCTTTCATGATGTTTTCGATGTCAAACTCATTATTGTCATTCTTGTCGTTCCTGTCACTTAATCTTTTTCCTTCTCGAGTTGTAGGTTTCTCTCGACTGGTACCATGGCTTCTAGCGCGGCTAATTTATTGGTATTATTCAAAAAGTTGATACTATATATGATATTATCATCGAGAATTTTTCAAAAAATAGTATCAGTCTTTCCACTAAAGAATGTTACAGCTGCACGGTGCAGTCCCCGAGAAAATCGCGCCCTTTTAATTCCGCTGCACAGTGCAGATTTCCCGCGCGATCACACGATACAGCCAACGATGTGAGGAAAGATTGCACAGTGCAATCCCTTCAGTGCCGCACCGGTCGGTTGTCGCAGGATTCAATGACTTGCAACAGTCAAAAAAACGTGTCGCAATCCTTCCATTGAACACAGTTGTGGCTTGAGCGTTGCGACAACCGCGACACACTGTCGCATCGCCATTCGAAGCGCGACACGACAGTTTGTCGCAAAGCTTTGCACTTGCGACATTGCGACTTCCATTGGGATGTCGCCGGGTGCAAGCGACTGTCGCAGACCTTGTCGCTTGTCGCCCAATTCTCGGCGCGACAGCGATTCCTTCAAACTGCACTGTGCAGTTTTGTAACATTCTTTCCGGGAAAGACTGATATAATTTATGATATTATCATTGACAATTTCAACCATGCTTTAATTAGCTGAATTATAATAAAAAATAACATAGGTAAAATCTTTTCATAAAGAGACGAAAACTAGAACACCATTTAAAAAGACTTACACGCTTTTGGGTCGAACAGTACCGCTTGCAGGCGATGCTGGGCTTTGTGTGTGAGCTCGAGGTGACCTTGCCCTAAAATACAGTATAAGACGTTAAAGACTGTACAATAAAAACTGGTCATATTAGTAATTTGTATGGTAAAACCTGGTCACATAAATGATTTGCATGATAGCCTCTGGGCACATAAATAAATTTTAAGAGTATTTTCACGAAAGAGGCTTGCAAACTTTATAAAAAAAATTTCAAAATTTTAAATTTAAAAAAATAAAAGAAGTCAAAACTAACATACTCAGTTCTGGCGTCTTCTGAATTCCTTCGTCCGAACAGTCCGAAAAACGATTTGAATTTGCCTGGCTTTCTTCCCCTGCCTTGATCATTATTCTCGTCATTTCCCATTTCGTGGAACACAAACTTGGTCTACCGACCGGTCGGAACAAAAATTTCTACCAAAAGTAATGACTTCTTTTCTTTTTCTAGTTGCAAAGCCAAAAAATAAAAAATTTTTTAAAAATAAAAATTTTTTTTGATTAAAACAATTAATTTTTATTCCAATTTAAAACTTCAAAAAGAAGTTTTTTACTAATTATAATATAAAACTTCTGCAATTGTTCATGATAAGTCATCAAAATAATCAGTTCTATTCAATGGCTGATATTACAAAAGGCCTATTCAGTGTTAAGAGGCCAGACTGACAGTTTTTGTAATTGCTAGCATTTGATTGTATAGTTTTGATAAAATGTGGTTTTACAGTTTATGTCTACTGTCAACTCTTACCTTGACTTCTGCTGGTACTTTAGAAGTCAAGTGTTATTCATGTGCTGGAGAAGCTTGTGTCGCTCCAATTAGTACTGTTTGTGGGATCAACAATGGATGTATTAGGGTAAGAAAACAAAATATTAAAAATTAAAAATTTTTTTTAAAAAAATATTCAAAAAAATAAAAAAAAATTTTAAGTTAAAAAAAGTTATTTTCAGGTTTCAAATTCCACTCCTCGCCCTCTATATTTAGGCTGTATGCCAAAGGCAAATAAAGACCACGAAAAATATGTAAATTTAAGTGACTTTCGTCTGCCCGACGATTGGTATGTCACTGCTTGTTGGACAGACTTTTGTAATGCTGAAGACTCATCAGCCACCAAAGTTTTACTCTCATCCTTAATATTCTTTGCTTTTACATTTTGGGTTGTGTTATAAAATGTTTTGTATATGCATAAGTAGTTAACTCAACTAACAACGAAAGTGCCCGACCTGCCCCGCTTTCTATTATACGCATTTGACATATAAATTTTATTTTTTAAAAGTTGTCACGACATACGGTTTAGGAACACTAAAAGGTAATACAATATTGATGATAATTCACAGCAGAAAGTAGTTCAAACAACAAAACAACTCACAGACATAACATTTTAAATCGTTTGCTTTACGTATACAATAACATACACGCATTTTTGCAAGCTGTAACGTAAAGTTTAGTGCCAATCAATATTAACTTATATATTTCTTTACTGTTGTCATTATTTACTATTGAGTACTACATGGTATTATAAATAAAGTTAATTGACTTAGTATTTTACAATCATATTTTTATATAAAAAAAGATGAACATAGCTTATGTTTTAGTCATTTTCTATTTCATCATGTGTGCTATTTTTTCAATTTTTGCTGGTCTATGCACAGCATGTACGTGGAAGCTATGCTATAAGTATAACATCTTTTATTTGTTTTGTAGTCAAGTAAGTTACAAGTTGAACAAGTAATTCTGTGGGTGATCTACTCACTTGTATAACTTATTCACAAAAATGGTTTATCTTATTAAAAGCAGTAAAATGTGCTAATTATAAATTACTAACAAAAATTTAGGTTACTTTTGTCCGTCCTATTATTGAAGCTTTCTCTCCAATATATCATCCGTATTTGCTCAAGGATATTAACAAATTAGAAGCTGTACAGAAAATAAATAACAAGAACTATCTTTTTTCGCTGTAACCTTATGCCTAAACCTTATTCTGAGCGTCTAGCGCAATTAAAACTTTGTAGTCTGGTATCCCGCTTTGACATTTTAGATTTAAAATTGTTTAATAGAATATTATCCGGTAAAACTATTGTAAACAACTCTTTAATTCCAAAGTTCAAAACATCTCGTACTCGAGGTGCTTCTCGTAAAATTATTGTACCTTTTGCTAGAACTAAGATTAAAGCAAACTCCTTTTTAATTCGTACATGCAAACTTTATAGGAATCTGTCTCAATAGAGACCTCGTCAATTTGTTACTTTTATTACTTTATTATTCTATTGCTTACTACTTATATTTGACGCCGAATAAATAAATAAATATTCTCTAAAGACAACGTTTATTATTTTTTTTTATTTTTGTAAATTTTTTATTTTTAGAATATTTGTGTCTTCCTCACTTCACCCTGATGTTTCGGTTCTTTTTATTCTCCAACGAAATTGTTGACATTTCATTCCCAAAATGGCTACGTATTCACGGTGTACTAGCATGCTTATATACACTCAGCTTTCATGTCAGCATCATAGCACTACAACGTTTACATTCAATAACGTCTTCTCACAATTATACTCGATTTTGGACTCAACTGCCAATTTTTATGCTATTGGCTTTGTATGGCTCTTTGGGTCGTTTATTTTGCCTTATGTTGGCTTATATCAACTAGGTGAGTCATCGTCGGCAGCTGAAGTTGGGAAAAACTTTGTAACGGTTTATGGTTCTGATCTGCAGGATTGGCAGCAAATGTTGGTTAGCTATGTGTTAATGTTTTATATTATTTCTACTGCTGTGTGTTATATAGTGGCTGGAGTTACATTCTTGTACAGGAATTTTAAATGATCAAGTGGCCGTAAGTTAACGAAACTACTAAATATTTTATACTATGTTATAATTCAAACACTTGGTAGAATAATAATCCGTGAAGCATTATGCTTAAGAGCTGCCACGTCATAACATTACTTACTTTTTAAATTTCAGTAAAAAACACAGTATACCGACGTTTGTTTATTAGTGGTTTTTTAATATCAGTGCCTTGGCTTGTTGGTACCGTAATCCTGTTATATTCTAATAAAGTGAAATTTGGGTACAATTCAGTAGTCATTCGTGGATTATGTGTACTTACAACAAATTTGGTACCGGTACTTCTATACGTAACAAGCAATCTGGTGCGGCAAGGAGTGCTACAATTAATAAAATACAAAAAGAAATCACACAAAATTATTCTGACTGGTCGGAGAATTGAAAGTTCGAAAAGTAAAAACACTTGTTGAAATTTGTTAACAATATTTTTTCATGAAGTTTAATTTAATGTGCATTATTAAAAAGTTATGTAGTAAATTCATTTTTATTACAATTTGTATTAGAATATCTAAAACCCCCACCATTGTAGTTTACACCCCACCCACTGTAGATCGCACCTCACCCGCTTAACTATCTTTGCACAAACTTTTAGCTTATCATAACCCTAAAAATCTGTCAATCTGCTTTCAAACTGCCGCTAATCGTGGGTTTCGTTGTCGCAGCCTGTGGAACATTCGCGCCCGCAATTAAAGATACCTTTTCTGTAAAAAAAATCAAAAACGTGAAAACACCCTTTTTTCAATTGGTGCATGAACGTATCACAACACAATGTCAAGCCATTTCGGTAGTTTTACTGAGAGTTTCGAAGATAAATCAATGGAAAGTTCTTCAGGATATTCTTCATGGAAACCTGAAGAAAGGGACCCGGAACATTCAGTGGAACACAACAAATCTGTCGATAAATTTGTGAACAATGTTGTAAGTTTTGTGTTGTTTATATCGTTTTAGGTAAACATAAGTGTTTTTGTTCAATTCTGGTTTGTGCTGGTTTTTTTAGGTCAATATGTTTTTACCTGGTTTTAGGTAGTTTTTGCTGAAGAATGTTGATTCTTGGACTAGTTTTGGCTTTTAAATTTTACGTAAATTAACTAGAACGTTAACTTATGTTTCTATATAGCTTAAAATGTAGATTTAACTTTTGATTTATAATGTTACCTAAATTTAGATGGACGCCTTTTCCAAGGAGCAGTTTACCGTTTTGGAGAACTTTGACGAACGCGACGACACACCTTTGATGTGGGAAATTAGAGAAACATACGTGAACTATATCAGAACGCTGAATCATGGAGCACCATTTGGAGAAAACTAGTAAATTTTTTTTTATATTGTTTTAGGTGCATATTTGGCATTAAAGTGGTTTTTTAAGATTAAAATTGTTTCTTCTAATAAGTTATAGTGATTTATAAATGTAAAAGGCTTGTTTTAAGTAGGGAAAGGGACGTATCTATTTTTTGGAGGTAAACCTATTTTTGTGAATAAAGTTGTGTTTTTAGGTTTAAAGTTCTTATTTTCGCTATTTTTTATGTAAGATTTTGGAACTTGATGTAAAATATAGAATTTTCATCATATTTGAAGATTAAAAGTAATTTACTTCGTTTTTATTTTAGTATCTTCAAAAAGCCTCCAATAAAGACCTCTGACACTTCTACGCTCAAGAATCCGTATGTGAGTTTTTGACGGTGTATGTGAATGTTAGTAGAGCATTTAAAATTATGTTTTGAAAATTTTAAGATGCTATACAGGCTTAACTTGTTTTTGAGTCGCTTAAAATATGAAAATGAGTACTGCAATATGCCTAAAAATTAAAAAACAACTGTTTATTTTACATTAACCTAGTTGAACATTCTTTTTGCTTTAATAGTTTTTTATTGAATATCTTGAGGGTATTAAACTTTTGTGGTGAAAATATTATTTAAGTTCAGAAGTAATATATAAATGTACTTTCAGGCCATTAACCACATGACAGACCTGAGGAAGCAGATGAACAATTTTCTCTTTGAAAGTCCATCGATTCGCCATTGTTTGAATTATGTCAAGAATAATTGGACCTTTAATTATCCGCCTGATCACAAGGCAGTGTCGTATCCAGAAGATCATTTGCAATGGTGCAGTTTCGAACGAAAAGTGGCATACGAAGCGTTGGTCCAACCAGACTACAAAATGATGTTTTTGGTTGTTTTGTGTGGAGATGAATGGCCAGAGTTGTACGGTGCAGAGAGAGTGTGTACTTATATTCGGGTAGGTTAATATTATGTTTTGGGAATTGTGGAGTTTGTTTTAAAATTGGTTGTTGAGCTGAAGATATTGTTTTAGTTTTGCGATTCTATAAATAGTTATATTGTGTTAGGTTTTTGAAAGTTTCAAATGTTTAAACACAAAATACCTGCTTCTAGTTTGGCAACAACACTTCAATAGAAACTGTGTATCAGCTGCTGTACAGTTCCAAAATATGTCTTCATTTCCACCGTGTTATAATAGCTCCAAACTATCGTTGGGTTGCTGATAAAGATCCACCAAGCGGAGATTACCAATATTATACGGACAAGATGTTTGCTCTCCACAGGTATTACCGAAAGTACAAAAAAGACAACATATACCTGTATATGTTCCCTCGCTTGCGGTCGATTTATACATCGGAGCAAAAGGAACGGCTGAGGTTGTACAACGTGACTGTGTTGCGGTAAGTGGGGTGGGGTTTGAAAGTTTTTTGAAATTGAGTTTGTGTTTTGAAAACGATAGGGTGTTTTGAGAAATTGTGATTATAGCGGTCAAAAATTAGTTGTTTTGGTTTTTAGGTAACAAATAAGGTTTTTTAACTAATTTTACTTTAAAATTTAAATTTCAGTTTAACTGACAATGTTCTCCGTTCTCACAGATATCAGCAGGAGTTCCAGTACATTGAGGACGATGAAATGAAGGCTTGTAGCTTGATTATGACAAGAACATTTCTAGAGAAGTTCACTTCACATTCCTACGCCCAAATGTTCTACCCTTCTGGAGAGCCTGTACCAACTCACTCTGATGAGATTTTGAAAAAATTTAAAAGTTGATTTCAACTTTATTGATTTTTAAATGTATTTAATGAAAGTTCACTAACTTTTTATTTGATATTGTATATCTAACTTCTATTCTACATATTTTATGGACACTAATCTTGACGCTTTATTTTGGGTATATCTTTTTGAATTTACTTGATAATAATGTTATATTTTGATGGAGAATAAAATTTTTATAAATAGATGAAATCTTTTTATTTTGGATATAAATAGTTTTATAAAGGCTATAATATTATCTTTCAAAGCGCGTGAAATTTTGTTTTTTTTGATTTTTAAAATACTCTAAGTTTTAAAATTGCTGTTTTTTAAATTTTTTAGTTAATTTAGTTGTAGTATGGTGCTAAATGGTACTAAAATTTAAATTGGTACGGTTTTAACATAACAGTACCATTTTGGGATTTTAGTACCATTTAGTAGCAAAAAATATAAAAACAGTACCAATTTAAAATTTAATACCATTTAGTACCATACTACAACCAAATTAACTAAAAAATAAAAAAAAACCTTTAAAAATCCTTTAAAACTGAAAAATAACTCAACATTTTAAAAATAATCTGAGAAAATTTGAAATTTTGAACCTTAAGGTCCACCTTTGATATCACTTTTTTTTGTTGAGAAATGAGTCTGAAAACCTTATCGGATTAGTGAAATTCTACAGGTTTTTTCTAAATTTTGCAAGTTTTCTAGTCACTAAATTACAAACAAGCAATTGTAGGAGCATAACCTAGCTACTGAGACAGTTTAAATTGTTCTTGAAATATTTAATTAGAAAGCCCAAATAGATTTTGTAGGTATTGACACTGTACAAATAACTAAAATTTCTGTCCTTTAAAATTACTGTAAATTTTTACTGTAGGATTTTCCTGAAGTTGTTGATCTTCGTGAGTCACGGCAAAATACTCACTTTTTATTTTTTCAGTAGTTAGTACGAGCTTATAATTTTTTAGTGCTACATAATTTAAAAAAAAATTTTTTTTCTGGAAATGTTTTTGACTTTACTATTATACTACATTTTACTTTACTGAGTTACTTCTATACTACAGATTACTTTACTGACGCAAAAAAGTTTGTCAAAGCAACTCAACATAACTTGATTATGCATGTTTTCAAAAAGAATACAACTTTATTGTCATGCAGATCTAATTACAAATACTTTGAAGCCGTTTTAAATTAGAAATTGTAAAGTTTGGAATGGGACAAATTGTATTTTCATCTCCACCTACATAAATGGCATGTTCACATTAATGAGGGTGGAGATGATATTAATGTAGGTGGAGATGAGAGTTTGGTAGTTGGTATGCTATAGTACTTTGGAGTACTATGTATGGTGTTAACAGCATATGTGGATACGAAAAGCACTTAGTATCAGTTAGTACGTTCTGTGATTTACTTTTTGGAAATTTTTGAGAAGTAAACTCTATGTTTTTAGTTTAAAATGGAGTTGCATTAAGCTTGGCTAGCGAGATATTAGAGGTCAAAGAATTTACATAGGAAAACACTTCGGACTTTCCCTTATGCTTTGGACAAAACGGATAGGTTGACTCATCAATCCGTGGCCGAGTCAGGAGATTCATCTGGAGTGCAAAAGGCGGTAAGTTGGAGTCTCATCGATTTCATTTTGGCGTTTATCTACGATGACAACATGTTTTGGCTAGCCAAACAATATTTTGCATTAAAAAGTATTTTTTTAGTTATATTATTTTGCTTTCGGTCACTTAAAAAAATATTCATCAAACTACCATTTTTCGAATAATATACACTTACGATTTAGATAAGCTTAAAACCGTCTTATATAGTCTAGATTTAGAAATCCCGAATAGACTAGATTCTATTTACGGACTAATTTGTAAATTTTGTTTTGCATAAAACTCATTAAGTAAAAACACTAGAATTACCTAAAATTATTTTGTTAATTATACAAATCTGCAAGTATAATATACAACAACATACGAACAACAAGACATTCGTATATTTGCGTACGTCTAGTCTCTTATACGTGTAGTCTTACTTCAATTAGGGTAGCGTAATGAAAAAAATTGAATTTGGGTTTAGTTTTTTTAGTAAAGCAGAGTTGCTTGTGGTATACTTTTCTATAGGGTACTATTGTAAGTACAACGAATTTGCATAAAAAATTTGAGATGATTCTCAGCAGTTTGGGTACTTTCCTTGTTAATATCTAGGGCCTTAAGATTGTACTAGGAACAGCACAAGCAAAATTTGTAGCAAGTAGCAAACTGTTTTCTGATGAATAATCTTTGTTGTGCTTTCTACTTCCACATGTTGATTTGTATTTGCATGTTTTGTATATATATATAGAAGTAATATTACATTGTCACATTATTACTGTGAAAAAACTCTTATTGTGTTGGCAGTTCCTTGTTGTTTAGATGGTTTAACTCTTGAGACTTCTAGGAATTGCTGTTTTATACTATTTGAGGCGTTAAGTTCACTGAGTTGATATTATTGTTTAGGCTAGACGCATTAAAAGCTCTTAAGGTAAATGCTTTGCTCTGTAAAAGTTCTTTGCTCTTAACTTATGTTATACTAGACTTTCTCAGCCATTCTGCTGTGTACAGTATGTTTTAGTACTACCTTTTACCGCTGTTACACGCCAAAAAACGATTCAAAGGTCAGACGTGGCCAAAGACATGCTCAAAGACAATATTTCAAATTTTGTTTTATATTTTACAATTCAACTGCAAAATGATTTATGTTACGCTACGTTTTGTGAAAAGCGGAAATTCTTTTTCAAATTTGGAGAACGGCACGTTAGAAAGGCTTTGAAGAAAAATAATTTAATGTGAAAAAGAGAAAAAGCAACAATTTTTTTGGGATGGCTATGACAAAATTAAAATTTTAAAAGATTTTAAAAATCTTTTCATGCAGGCGGTTGGCAAAAGTCGGGTATTGGACTTACTAGTTTGTTCAAATAATTGCGTGCCCCGAATCCGGGGCACGGAATTAGTTGAACAAACTTATAGATAAGAGACCTGTATCTTGTGAAACAGCGTCAAAAGTTATATAGCGATCAAGTATTTTTAGCGGCTCTTAGGGCCATAGGCACTACAGTGAATGTGTAGGTGTTAATTTCAAAGCATTTCAAACATGTCATACTTTTTAAATCTAATGTAATCTGAAAAAGAGTGTGTGTCGTTTTGATTTGGCACGTTTTTGGCAATAGAAACAACTAAATTTCAAGCCGATAAATTTGATTTGAACTCTTTTATTCTATATAACAGATGAGAGGTTAACGTTAAGGTTAGATTTTGTTGCTTTCACGTTTGTGTAGGTTTTTCTTGTTCTGAAGCATATGTAGCTTTTAGTATCATTCTCAGTGTTTTGTGTTGAATGATGGTAGGGGCAGGGTGGAGCAGTGTGGAACATGTTTGACTTGATTTAAAAAAAAATTTTTTTTAAAATTATTAATAAGATACTTGGTACTGTCTGATGGCATCGTATAGAGAGAGGTAGTAGTTTTTATTGAGGGTAAGGTTGATAATTGTTTTATGGTCAGCAAGGTTTTTTGATGATTTTTCAAAGAAGATTGTTAAGAAAACCTAGTTCAATTTATTGAATATTGTTTTTGTGAAAGAATCCTTTTTTTTCTCATGCCCCAGGGTTATTTTCATAAGAATTCGCATTAAACTTGTCGGACAGACTTAAACAGAATTGTGAAAAATTAAAGATCAGAAGCCAAAGCTACCGTATTACATACTATTATTATTTTATAGTAAAAACTGATTTCTGATGTGAAACATGTGCCATTACTCCTTCGTATGTCTTATTCGGTTCTGTTTTGAACGGCTATTCTCGGACTTTTTTCCATTGTGTTCTATGTATAATTAATTTAAACGCGGGTGCTTTGACGTTGAAAAAGCGTAGTTAAAAAATAAATACATCATACTATGTTATGCTACATCATGGAACAAAGACTTAACTGTAATTTGATTTGGAGGATGTTGGGGATGGTACTATGTTTGAAGGAAATGATAAGTAGTACTAACTAGGGATGTGCTTTAATGTCTGAGTACTGTCTAGTGCTGTGCTTTTGGTTAGTATAGTAGGTTTTTGGTAATATAGTGTTATTGGGTTACATACAGTACTCTTATTGTTCTAACGTCAATATATATCAAGATTAAGAAGCTGTGAAGGCTAGGAGCTTTGACTTCTAACTTGGTACATTAATCTTGTTGTAAGGTTACTTTAGAGCGATATAAAGTTTTGTCGTCAAAGTGCATCAATTTGTACGTTACGAAACGAAAAGACTTTCTTGCTTAAAATACGCCTTGTTTACACCAAAAAACTTTGTCATTTTATGTTTATATCGTTTGCGTTTCCTGTTGATAGCTCAACCACCATGTATCCAACATCGCCTTTCATCACCCATAACGAACTGTATTCACAATACGAAGCTATACGCATAGTAATGCGGTGGCGGTGGATTAAATTTAATCCAACGTTCCACGGTTATAAAAAACAAAAAGAAAATAATTTAAGGAAATTCTAATACCAAGATTAATTAAGACAATATTTAAAGAATACGAGGCGGATTTCCTGTGCTTTACGTATTCCGACAAACATGTTGTGGTATGAACCGTACATGTCGTCTTCCTTTTGCTTTGGTCTAGCTTATTTTTAGATAGTTTTGTTGAAATTGGCCAAGATTTGAGATTTAGGGGGTTTTAGTTGGACTTGATTAATTTAGTCGTAAGAAAAAAAGATAAGAATATGATTAAATTAGTAACCTTGGGGGTGTATGTTCAGATTAGATTTAGATACTGTAAAGATGGTTAGAAGAGTTACTTTGAAGCAACAATCAGTAGGGGAGGGAGGTGGAAGATTTAGGTCTGTCTGATTTTGTGAGGAAAATAAGTAGTACCTAGCGGTAAAAGTAAATTGGACACTACTGTTGGTTATGAGTATAACTCTTGTATAATATAATAAAATCAGGTTAAAAGGCTTTGTAATTTTACATTATTCTTTTTGTTAACAAT